TCATTTATATGACATCATACACATGATTCTCTCGGCATTTTTCAAGTGAGGCCATGAACCCTCTTGGGGGCGCCACTGCTGCTTTTGCCAGGTAATCACAGTAAGACTTAACATCTTTCACAATATATTCTAAAATAAATGTTACAGTCCACCTACTTCACCACGACAGCATTTTGTGAAGTGTGTGAAAGGAAAGCAGAAAAACAGTGGAAAAATCTGAAATATTTGCTTGGACTTTCAACGTTAACACATGTGATTAATCTGAACATTTTAACGTGTAAACATTACGTAACGCAGTTTAATCGAACTAGCTTCTCCTACCTGGTTCACAGCAGCGCTTTATGAGCTGGACAAACAACAGCGAAGTGTGACAATTTTCCATGATAGCAGACTAACAACGATTGAACATTTTTCAGCTTTCTTCTGTTGCGTCGCTAGCTAAGCCCGCGTGTGTACATCTACGTGCACGAGCTCCAAATTTCTCACGCGGGAATCCCGCCGGTCGCTCAACCAGATGAGGACAAGGGACTGTCGTCTAATCACGATAAATGGAGAGGGACTTTTTTTTTATTTTTTTTTTAACTAATGTTTAAAACGAAATGACTTGTTTAAACCCTTCCTGAACATAAAAACCTGGAAAACCTACTCTCTTCAGACATGCTTTGTTTGAGACAATAAAAAATTTTGTTTAGCATTTTTTTTAAAACGTGCGTACAGTGGCAGTTTTGGATGGGCGCTGTCTGGACAGTTGCCCAGGGCGGCATCAGAAATGGGTTCATCACCCAAGAACTAGAAAATAAAATGCATCTTATTTTATGTCGGTTGTCCCCTGAATATGTTTGCTACATAACCTGGTTTCTGCTACAAAAAACATCAAAAATATATATAATTGCTTGAATTTTTAATTGGTTGAAAGTGCAGCAAAAGGTAGTGTTTGTATTTCAAGTTTCCAAATTAGTCAGTGATTAATCATAATTAATCGCAGCGCTAGAGTGTGACATGATTAAATGTATTAATCGACAGCACTAGTAATACTTACATATCAAATTTAAATGAATGAATGGCGTTTATTTGTGTTTCTTTTAGATGCAAGTTGCGCTTTGCGGGAGCAGTGGCTGCCGTCCCACCATTTGATCAGTCGCTGCTGCTTCTGCTCAGTTATTCACGTTGACATGAACGCGGGGCAGAGCGTAGCAGTCCGCTGGGCTCGCTCCATCTCACGGACTTTTCAAACAATAGCAGCAGTCATGCATCAGAAACAATAATTACAGCCGAGTGTTTGGGGCTTATAAATTGCGGCTACGAACTGTCCGCATATGCGTGAGGGAGCAGCGCGTGTGCTTATATGAATCAGCTCCCAAACTCGCGCGTGTTCGTGTGCGCCGTTCGCACGTTTGCATTGGCGCTGTGCGTGTGTGCGCAAATTGTAAAAGTATGAGCTTGTTAATTCCAATAAGGGCCTTTGCCTTGTTGTGGTTTGGTGGGATGGGAGGGTGGAGGAGGGGAGGGGAGGACATCTTGAAGTGGCTGACCAAGATCGCCAGAAATCTGCCAGAATTCCATCCCGGCGCTCAGTGCCAGCTGCCCTCCTCCCCTCATGTGTTGATCACCCATCAGCCTTCCTTTTTGACACCATCCGCTCTCCTTATCATGGAACCATTTCCACAAATAATCTGTTTATTTATTCATTCGCCTTCTTAATTACTTTCCTACGCTCACATGTTTTTTTTTTTTCTTCTTTTTTTCTTCCCCCCACAGCTTGCTTCATCATATTGGAGATGGGAGGACGAGCTGCAAAGGAAACCAGTGATTTCATTCGCTGTTGATGCAGAGAAGAAAGTTAATCTGTCTGAGGGGAGAGATGGGAGGGTGGGCGATAAATATAACAACAAAGACTTGAAGGCCTGACTTCATAGGCATCTCCTCTTTCAGGGGTTTTTTTTTTCTTTCTTTTTTTTTCCCCCAGTTTTCTGAAGCTGAAATGAGATCCAGATCTGAATCAAGGAGTGATTGGTAACGAAAGGATGGGATGGAAAGGAGAGGGAGAAGGGATTTTCTCTTTTGTCCCGACTCACACTTCGCCACAATACATCACGCCGCGACCCCCGCCAGCCACCCTCAGGTCACGGCTATGTTGGTGACTCACACTTGGGTATTAAAAACACACGCTAATGATCATGTTTGTATTTTTGGTTTAACTGCCTTAGACATGTAATAAGAAAGCTGGCAGAGGGAGCTAAAATGCGACGGCCGTGGGGGGGTGAGGTGAAAAATGATCTGTAGGAAACAAATGGAAAAATGTTTTTACCCGAGAGAAAAAAAACAAAAGTTTTTTAAACTTTTGTACATTAAAAAAATGTTGGCAAAAAATGGTACACAAAAGAAAAAAAATGTGATTTTGATGTTTATTAAACTGCTTTAACAAAATCACCAGTGCCACTTCAGCTCAAAGTAAATCTGATAGAGGCGAGGGTGAGGAGTTTGTATTTTAAGTTGATTGAAGTGTTTCCGTACTTTTAATATGTAATCTATGCCTTACTTTTAGCCACAGTACTAATCTTTTTAAAAACAATAAAAATAACTACTGTTCATAAAGAACACACATTCAAGAGGCAAATTCAAATCAGAAAATAACTCCTCACCTAAACTTGCTCAGTGTGTGCAGTGGAAGCCACGTTTAAAGCTTGTAGCCAGACTCAATTCAACTCACTATACAGTATGTGTCTTATAGAACAACATGGCATGGTCTGCTTTTAGTTTGCGTCACAATTTTGTCAATTTTTATCCAAGTAAGGAAAAAAAACCCTGAAAAAAACAAGCTTTCTCATCCAAGTGCCTCATGAGACATAAGATCACTTCGTAGTTATGAGGAGATCGGTTTGCACTTTGTAGTTCTTTCCTTTTTATTTTGCATTTTAATAATAAAATACTTAATTTAAAGGTGCTTAGAAGGATCCCGATCAGAAAAGTCTTTTGGAAATATGATGTAGTACGGAATGGATCTCACAACAAAAAAACCACATGCAAGTCGAGAAGAAGGACGGGATAGAGGGGACTATCAAAAGTTGTTCATCCAACATTATATTACACTAATAAATCTCCAAAGTTTTTGTACATTTTATGTATGTACCTTATATAACTTCATTTGTATACTGATATAGCTATTGAAACATTAAAAGAAACATTAAACAAGAAATCCTTACATTTAAATCTAATATTTAAGGATGCATAAAATCAGTTTATTTAGCAGCAACCTATTGCTGATTTGCTGATTAGCGGTTCCTCTCATGATGTCATCAAATCAGATACAAACAAAGCAGAATAAGCACATTTGTTTCCTTTTGGGCAGCTTTTTAAAACCTTAACCATCGTGAAATCCTGCAGTGGAAATTCGTACGTCATTACCAAGCTGTGTTTTATTGCACTTGTAGTTTGTTTGTTCAAAAAAAAAAAAAAAACATCTGTGTTGAATTGTTTCTTTAACATTTAAACTAATAAATCTGACCAAAAAAGCAGCTTCAGGTCAAATATGTATTCAAGTTTTGAAATGTTGATTTCAATCAAATCAACCTTTTGATTGAAATCAATTAATCAAGTTTATTTGTGTAGCACATTTCAGCAGCAAGGCAGTTCAAAGTGCTTTGCATCATAAAAACACAAAAATACAAAGTCATTGAAGACACCACATAGTCAACAATTAAAACCAGTAAAGTTACATTTTGCCAAGTCTCGTCATTACACATCACACTTGTGATTGAAATAGGTTATAAAATAAAAATAAAAGATACATCCTGTGGTCAAAAAGTCACTACAAAAAATATTTTTAGGATGTTTTTGAGCAGCTTTATCACACATGTTTCGATACAGGTTAAAATCTGCAGAACTTTGTTTTGGACTGAGGTAAAAAAAAAAATAAAAAAAAAGACAATTTACTCACTCAAAAAGTCCCAACAAAGATCTTGCACTTCTGCATTGTGGCATGTTTAAACTAACCCACCCTTCCAGTCTGCCAGGCAGGAAGAGCCACACTCAGCTGGGCATTGTGTTGAAGGGGGCATGCCACTTGGCCTCTCTCCGTCTTGCACACACACATATGCTCACAGTGCTGGGTCAGTCAGGCATCGCTCCTAACAACCGGCGCCTCGGCCTTGTGTTTCCATGGCAATCAGCACCAGCGATCTTCCCACGGTGGCAGCGGAACCCAGCACCGAGTGCTACGGGGAGCCGTGTGTGAGAGTGTGTGTGTGTTTAGCGTGCTTGCAATGATTATGAGAGTATGAAGAGCGCTATCTCGTCCGGTGAAGAGCACAGATGTTCAGACACTCATTGGACTGATTCCTCTCTTGACCCCTTTGTCATTGCCCCTCATGTCTGCACACATTGGCAGGCACACAGAGCCGCCTCAAACAGTTTGGATTTTTTTTTTTTTTTTTGTTGCATGTTGTGCAAGATCTCAGCAGAAAATACATGAAAATCTGGCTGCAATTTCTTTTCTTTAACATTCAGATCCAAGAATTTTACAAAAGCAGCACTTTTTGAAATTCAATCCTGCAGATACGACCATATGAACCTTTAAAACTGACATTATTTCCCCTATAATAACTTCCAAACGATATTTCCACTACGTTCAGTTTATAGTTCATGCATCATTTTGTCGCTTTTTGTTTTTGTTTTGTTTTTTTGTAGACGCCTCATTCCCACAGCCTTAACCTCCCCCCTCGCTACCGCTACCATCGTCCAACAAAGCAGCATAATTTAAGGCTACATAGAAAGACAAAAGTGAGGAAACAAAGTAGTAGGAAGATCGGAAGCTAATTGACTGAGGATGACTGAGCAAAATGGAAAGACGGGAGGATGGGAAGATGGAAGGGAGGGTGACAGGCCAGGGAAGGGTAGATTAAAGGGAGGGAGGAGGGCCTGAGGAGAGGAGGCGGGGGAGCCGAGGCTGGCAACCCTGCCCCAAACTGCCAAAGTCCTACTTTGTCATTGGGTGCCTGTGACAGAGAGAGCAAGCCAAGAGAGACATAAGAGAGGAATAGACTACGATTGGATGCCACTGACTGTGTAAAAAGGCTGAAGCGGCTCGTGAGTATTCTTACTTGTCATGGGCCCTTGGGGGTTGCTCAAGAAGAAGAGGTCCGAGGGCACACGAAGAAGCAGCGGCGCGGGAAGAAGCGAACAGAAGTGACAAGAAGGAAAACAAAGCTTTTAGAACTGACAGCATCAAGAGAGTCACACTCTTCAGTGTCCCAGTGACTCCACTGAAAGAGAGAGAGAGAGAGAGAGAGACGGCGGTCAACAACTCATCCATCAATCCACCCGTACCATCCATCATCATCTGTCTGACGAAGAGGTGAAAGGTTAAAGGGAAAAAAAACTAAAAATGAAGAGACCTCACGACTACAGCTCTCCAGACTCGGACACAGACGAGTTCATCGACGTGGGGCAGGAGGACAGCTACTGGTGAGCATCCGCCCGAGCCACACCTGAGGGCTGGAGCGCGTTTCCCTCCAGAGTAAAATTACACCGCTGCGCTCGCCGGCTAAATATACACACGCGCGATGGCTCCCAACAATGTCGTGTGATGAGAAATGGGTGTTGCACAGCGTTGAAGTTCAAAGAGTGTTGGGGGGTAAAATGTTGGTTTTTCAGGGCTGTGACACTGATGCATTGCAGAAAATGTAAATATTAAAAGCAATGACTTATTGAAGTTTTTTTTCACCGTCTACAACACTTTCACTATGATTAGCAAGCATTGCAGTTTTTCCTCATTTGAACACTGTAAAATAACAGAAAAAACTGAAGGTATTAGTTAAAAATCAACTATGTTGCACAGATTCTTTTTTTAAATGTATCAAATTTGGGTGCATGTCGGTTAATAAAGAGTTAGGAAGATATTACAAAAAAGGTAGATATTATCTGAGGCCTGCTGGTTCTGAAACATGCAGTTTTTTTATTGCTTAATTTTAAGAAATGGTATTTAAATATTTTTATATGCAGCGCAACAAAAAAGGTAAATGATTGTATTATATTGTTGGGTTTATGTGAATTTACATCTGCATTTACATATGCATTTTCAACATTTAAGCATCTATAAACAGAAAGTTAGAAACTAACTCAAAAGCAAAACAAGAAAAGTAGAATTAATTATGTTTTGTATTATGTTTTTAGAACTACTAGCTTCTCTTATAGTTAGCTATATGACTTGTTATTTTGAAAATGTTCATCACAGTTAATATCTCAGTGCAACATTCTATGGAAAAATAAACTAAATTGCTAATTTTTCTCCTCATCTAACTAAATTAACATTATTTTATTAAAGGATCAGTCAGTAAACACAAAGTTCTAGCTTTGGCACATAAAGATTGATTGATCACTTGAGGCTCAAATGTGGCCTATTTAATCACAAGTCATTAATCTAAGTTGTTTGAGTGTTGTGCAAAATACGTGATACGCTGTAAAAAAAAAAAAAAAAGGAAAAAGACTGAATGTAGCATGCTCTCTCCTTAAATGTCATTGAAACATTTAAGTTTTTAGTTGAACTGGTCAAATTCCTCTGCGGAAAATTTCACATGCAACTGGATTAAAGGAAATATTTGCGAATGTGCGTGCTTCCAATGCATATATGCAGAATTAAAAGAGAATGGGTTACATCACGAACGCAAAGTGAGCCAGTGACACAAAAAAGGGGTTTGGTGGGTTTAAAGAATTTGAACTGCACTCTGATGTTCGAGCTGAGGACTACGCTGTTTTTCCAAGGCCTTCATCATCAAAAATCAACCTAAACAAAAACAGTCTTCTTGATTTGGCAGCCCTCAAGTTAAAAAAAAAAAAAAAAAAATCTAATGGAAGTTCAATCCGTCTCTGCAGCAACAGTTCTGAAGGGAACTCCAAGCTGTGGAACTCTCTCAGGGCGTGTAAGACGAGAGTTCACAGACGAACGTGATCCGTTTTGGCCGACTGCACCAGGAGGGCCACGGCTCCCATGTTGCCTGTTGGAGCCTCCGTTGCAAAACAAAAGCGTCGCCCCAGGGCTACATAATTATCTTCCTAAAAGTGCTTTCTCCAAAAATATATGCAACCAAAAAAGCCAATCTCATCTCTGTTGTTTCTCAGTGCCCAAAAGTCAGTACGATTCAAAGGGGTTGATGCGCTCTTCTTCTCCCTGTGTCACATTAAGCAGGGTAATAACAACAAGATGCAGGCGACTCAATGTTACCACATTTAGTATTTTTTTCCATCTTCCTTTTTTACTTACTCCATCTCCATAATGCAGCCCCGTCACCGGGTCCATGTCTCCAGGCAGTGCCTCGCAGATTCTGGCACGGAAGAAGAGGAGAGGGGTGAGCGGGAGCTTTGGGTCTTCACTTTCTAAGATCCTCGTCTCGATGTGGTTTGACTCTTAAAGTCCCTTTGCTCTTCTTGTGGTGCAGATCATAGAGAAAAGGCGCAGAGACCGGATCAACCACAGCCTTTCGGAGCTGCGAAGACTGGTGCCAAGTGCTTTCGAGAAACAGGTAGATTTTCACGATAGAGAATGATGGAGGATGTCATAATTAGATCATCGCTGTGGCTTTCAGAGTGTTTTTGAGTAAAATGTGGCTCTTTATTTCCCTTAAGGGTTCTTCTAAGTTGGAAAAAGCAGAAATTCTCCAGATGACTGTGGACCATCTCAAACTGTTGCATGCAATGGGAGGAAAAGGTACAAGGACGGAAGTACTTTGAAATGCTTTTGATGTCACTTCTTAATAAGAAAGACTTGAATTTAACTGATATTTCAATCACAGGGTACTTTGACGCAAGGGCATTGGCAGTAGACTACAGGACCCTTGGCTTCAGGGAGTGCGTTGGAGAGGTTGTACGGTACCTAAGCTCACTGGAGGGGGAGTCTCCGGACCCAATAGGAGCTCGCCTTGTTTCCCACCTCTCGCACTGTGCCAGTGAGCTGGACCCTCTCCTCCTACAGCCACCCCCTGCCTCCGCCTTACCCTTCCCTCCCTGGCCATGGACCTCCTTCCCGCAAATTGCCCCTGCTACGCCGGCCCCTTCCTCGCCATCTTTCCCAAGCGGCCGCAGAGATCTTGCCCTGCTGGGGAGCTACCCGTCATCCGCCTCGCTGCGTCTGGCCCCGTTGGCTGGCTGTCAGCAGGGCGCCCCGCCGCTCCTCGCACCGACAGCTCTGGCCTCCATTCACAGGGTGGCCTCCCTCCCATCGTCTCCTGCTCTGGGCCACTCCAGACCGAACCAGCCGTCCCCTCACAGCACTACCTGTGCCTCACCTCTACCTCTCCCGACTGCATCCTCTTCCTCTCCCTGTTCCTCTTCTTCCACTTCATCATCTTCTGCCCCTCCACAAGTGTCCTTCCGGCCTTTTGCGCCTCTGGGCTCGCCGATAGCCCAGCGCAGGAGCTTAAGCGGAGCATCCAAGGCACCACAGGGGTGGGGGACTGAGATCGGGGCATTTTGAAGATCATCTCTAACAAATGAACTCTGTAAAGTGAACACGGACCTTTCATTTGCACCATGTAGCAAATACGCATGAGCATTGTCTCTCTTAAGGGACTCTAAAAGCCATATCAGACAATGAGTGAAGTTTTGGATTCTTACAATCATAAATGAAGGAATGTGAAGGAATTTCTTTGTTGTATCTATGTTCTTGTTTGACAAAAACACATATAGTGTCCCGCAGAGCCATATATGCTGTTTTCCTCAAGAAAACTTGAGAGTGAGTTTTGACTGAACTTTGAGCTGTGATGTTTTCCTTTATTTTCTCTAAAACATTTATACATTTGATTACTTTTTTTTTTTTTGCTTTCCAGAGAATGTTTGACAAAAACCTCTATAAAGTTTAAGTGCCTTCACCCTTGTATGTGTTTCTGCTTTCTTTCACTGACTACATGAGTAATAGCCGGCGTGTTTTTGCAGCTGTCAACACAAAGAGCAAAGGAATGGCAAAGAGACAGAGAGCTGTACTCCTCGTTTATCCATATCTGTCACGTCTGCAAACACTGCCAACATGTTCCCCAGCCGTAACCCTCTTTGAGCATGTAAGCTGTCTCCAGCCATGGCTTATGGGAGCTGTGGTCTTGCGGTGGCGGAGGATAAACATGGTGGGAGATGGTGATGTTTTTGGGATGCCGCGGTGAGGCAAACAGACCCATCACTGTGCCCTCTAATTGGTGCTCCCCTGTAATTAACTTCGTCCTCATATCAGCCAATGCAGCCCCCCTCCTCTCCTCCACTCGCCGTTTCCCTTCCATTCTTACTCTTCAATCCTGCGGTACGCCAGCGGATATCTTCTCTCTCTGTTTGTCTGCGCCACTGTCTCCTCAACAATGGACGGACTGAGGAGAGGGAGGGATGAAGACGAAGGAAAACAAAAGGCGCAGATCTGAAGGTCTGTGGTCGAGTGACTGATTCGGCATAGACGTTTAATAACAGGGTGGGTGTGGGAGGTAGGGGAAGGGGTTAGGGGTTGATGAGAGGGGCTGTGAAGGTTCAGATGGAAAGAGAGAAGTATACTTTGAATAAAAGGAAGTTGGCCAGTGCACAGAGTGTGCACAACACGTCCCTGAAGAGTGATAAATGGCAGTTGCAAGCAGTTGTTTTCTCTTGAAGCTCCGCATGGCCATGCTGTGTTTCACCAGAGCTGCACGCCGGAGGGATGAGAGGAGTTTTGTGTGTGTTTATTGCTGGCCAACGCTTTGATCTACTTCGGGATGCAATGTCTGTGGTCTGCGGTCCAAAAAATGTGTGTGTTCCGCAAAGTGCGCACTGTTTATTTGAATGAGCGTGCTAGTGCGTGCTTGAGCCGGTCCCCTTGTGCTTTCACTGCCTTTGTGTGTCAGTGTTTTGTTTATGTGGTGTGCAACCCCCGGTTGTGTGCCTGTGTGTGCGTGTAACGTGAGTATTCGGAGCTTGGCGTCAGGACCCGACCGCAGTGACGGCGTGGCTCTCGTGCGAGGCCGGCCGGCGGTCAGACGGACGGTATGGTGGTGGAATGTTTGAGGAGCGGGCCTGCTCGAGTGACACACACGCACGCACGCACACAGAGATACATACTTATGGACAAAAACACAAGCTGGCTGGCACTATTCAATCCTCTGAGTGGAGGAGCCAGAGTCACCACCACAGCTTCCTGGAAGGACAACCACACTCGCATCGCGCAGGCTTTCCCACGGGGGAGGGGACGCTCCGAGGGAGCAGAGAAGAAGAAGAAGAGAAGAGAAGGGAATGTTGGGCAAAGAAAGAGGGAAGTTCTGAGCATGTGAGGAAAGGTTTTATGGAAGCTTAGTGAGGAAAAGAGGAGGGTTCTGTCTCAAGGTAGGAGGGCTGAAGGGAAGGGGGAGTAAATTAGAAGGCGACAAAGTATTTTTCTCAATTAAATATTGTGCTGTGTTTAAATTGTAAAAATTTAAACGTAGCAAATGAATTTTGAAGAACTATCTCTGAAGTAATTTCAGTCAGATTAAAATGTGTGATTTCTTGTCACAAACTCAATATTCTCATCTGATCTCACAACTCCAACAGATGTCGTGAATTCACAAATAAGCACATTAATAATGCCATTACGTAGCGTCTGTTTTGATCATTCACAGTGATTTTGTTCACATACAACACGAAGTTATAATCTATGAGTGAATTAGCAAAACATTTACCGTCATTCAGCAAATTTTCAAGACATTTTAGAGGCTGTGTGTGTAATTGTGGCCACTTTCAACTTTCTTAATATTAGAAGTTTATTGTTTAGCCCTTGAAGATTTTATTGCAGTCAAAAGCACGCATGGCCTGTCAGCTACAAAACTATGATGCTCTTGTATAATAAAACCCTGACTCTATTTAGCCACATTAGATGACAAACCCATTCGTCATGTGAATCATTATTAAATGCAACACAATGGAGCAGAAGCTACTCTCCTCGTCTTTGTGTCTCTTACCTATTAACATAAGGACTGAGCAAAAGCGTTTGGCGTGTTAGCTAAGAGTGGCTAAACACACTTTGTTACTGTCAAATAAGTCAACATATGGTGAAACACAGTACATAGTGGGCTGGGAAAATGTTTCTGTATGTCAAATTCTTATTTTTCAGATGAGAAAACAAAAAACATAGGATTTGTCCTAATTTTTTATTTTGTTATTTTCACCGCCATGGCCAATTAAAAGCTCCCACAGGTACAATCTTATCTTTACTAATCTATTTTATTCATGCTGCTCAGTCTGAACCACAGGGTTTCTGTTCATAGTCAAATAAAAAAACAAACAATATATCTGCTCAATTCCTTGCCTTTCTGTATGTTTTTAGTATTTTCTCAGTTTCCTTTCTGTTTGTTTGTTTTTTTTCTAAGTCTTCAGTTTTGTTATCCTGCCTGCTTCATGTCTGGATGGGGCTGAGCGGATAACAGGAAGTCTCGTCTGGTTGATCAAAATCACACGGACTCTGTAAGAGTGCCATCTTGTGGTCAGAAAAGGGCAACGCAGGAAGCAGTCCGCATAGACGACATTGAAGAAAGATAACATGGCCATGTTGTCAGCTTCTTATTTCACTCAAATGTTTTGAAAATACCAACATTTAAATTGTTTTCCAAGTTCTCTTTTCCTCAAACGCTGGAACTCTGAACTGAGAAGTGAGTTGAGTGTGTTCCATGAGCAAGTTCAAGATTTAGGGAGAGATTGTTATTTTTGTAACTTTTCATACCCAGCGCTGTTGCACTCATTCATTCTCGTTTTACTGTTACTATTGTCATTAATCTTCATGATGTCCAGGCTCTCAGAGACCACAAGTGCCTGATTTCTTAAAAAAATAAAATAAAATAAAACTCTGTGTCTTACTTTGCAGCCATTCTTCTCCACACATCCATCTAAGCTGTATATGGTAATTTACTCTACTGCAAGTGACAGACTACATTCTACTCCTATTTTAGTCCCAGCTACTTCAAAAATACCAGTTTATATGTATTGATTCATTTTCTTTTTACATACTTTTACTGGCACATACATGTACACTCATTCATAAGAGGCGATTCATCAAATTTTACAACTTAATATCCTCCCTCAATTACATTTATCTCCTCCATGTCAAGGTTGAACCAAGGTTAATCAGACGTCAGTAATAATGCAACCTAATGTTTGATAGTTAAAAAGGGTAACATTTCTATTCTAGCTCTGAAATACATTTTATAAAGGAAGACAAAATACAGAGTAGAAAGAAGAAGCGACTGCAGGGCAAGTCAGAGCACCCCCTACTGTTGGAACTGCAAAGGTACAAATATAAAGGCAGTGACGCAGCAAAAGAACGTTTTTTTTTTTTTTTTTACATAAAATAGATCAGATGCTAAATATCTAAGTGCTCTACATTCCCAATATCGAAATAATAATAATAATAATAATAATAATAATAATAATAATAATAATAATAATAATAATAATAATAATAATAATGTGTCTGTAATCTGGATGTATTGGGAACAGCACTTTGGAGCATAATCCAGATTTTGCTTGTTGAAGTTAATCTGGAATTAACCTAATTAATTTATGGGAAATCATATTGTGGGTGATTTTCCAGGTTTTGGGTGATAATTCTTTTGCTGTGTAACTTTCTGGAAAAATATTATAGAGGTGTTGTAATAGTTTGAGAATGACACGTTCACTTCCCTGAATCAAATGAGGTAGTGCACTTTTCCTGATATTAGGATGTGTTTATCTAACCCTGACCCAATTTACTGTTTAATTTGTATGAAATTTAATAAAGAGAATGTCAAAAGTCAGATATGACGTCCTCTATTCTTTATCTTATTGTGTCATTTTCTGCATGCTCTTGGTCCGGAGTTCGTTCCTAAATGCGGCCTCAGCTGGTTTAGTTCTGGTCCTCAGAACATTCATAGGGCTGATTTTTAAAATCTTTTCTGCGGCAAACAGGGAGCCAGGGGCGGTATAAGAACTGGTATGATAGGGTAGATTTTTCTGGTGATGATCAGGACTCTGGCAGCAGCATTTTGAATGATGCCGTTGCAGTGGCCTACTGAAAATAATGTCATACACTTGACCAACATTTAAATTGAAAATAATGTCATACACTTTATTTTCAGTCTGTTTGACAAGAATCCCTTCTATGTTTACTTTCTTTTTTAGTTGTAAAAAGAGTCTTGAGGCCTTCTTTTACTCATTTATCTTCAATGCCTTTAATGTCATAGTTGTTTGATGAAAGTGTGCCACAGAAACTCTCTGACTCTTGCTGTTGTAAATGTGTCACATTTACAGCTTTTAGTATTACCGGTTCTTGATTTTATTGCCTCATTGATCACTGACCTGCTGTTGCGGGAACACCACCACCGAGGAGGATGAGCGTTCCATATCATCGTATTAAAGTTATCTGTTCTTCCTTGCTCTTCATTCTATAGTGGGAATAATCTTACGGTTCAGTTAAACAGGCTGCAGTGGGTTTAGATTCAGTACAACTTTGTTTAAAAAGCTTCCAGCTGTTGGTGTGAATCCCAAAGAAGATGAAGACACTTGTGATTTCAGTAGCACTGCTCCAACTCTATATTGTTGCCTTCTGTCAAGGTAATGCTGGGAGAGTGATTAGGTCATCAGGCTTAGAGTGATTCCTTCAGATGTTAAGTGTCAAGGTTAAAAAGGTATCAAACTATTCAGAGCAGGGTACTTGGTGCACTTTATTTACTTTGCAAATGCATGTAAGCTACAGTGGGTACTGTTTCAATTAAAAGAAACATGTTTTCTCACCACTTTGATTTATCTTGTCCAGCTGTCGACTTTAAGTCTGTGTCCATGTCCAACCAGAGCCAGGTATTGTGTAGTTGGTGCAGGTATTGTGTAGTTGGTGCTTTTAATCAGTTTTCAGTTAAATTAA